GCCCATCCTGGGATAATGCTTTTGCGAGTCGGATCAACCAACTGTGTTCCGCCATTTCATATACGTTTACGTACCCAACTTCAGTACATTTTCGGAATAAGTGACGGTGCATCGTATTTCCATTAAAGCCGTGAATTGAATATGCCAGAGGTCGTGTGCAGTGAATACTTAGGGAACAGATCCTCTGGGTACACCTCGGGATGTAATGAAGAGCAAACTATCCGCCGTCAGGAACGCTACGTCGGCCCTACCCAAACCTATTCGGTTGGACAGTACAGGACAGCGCTAAAGAGCGTTGCGATCGGAGGGACGATGTGACAGCGCCTGCGATGGCTACTCTCCAGGCGTGCAGGCACGCCATTGGCTAAGACAGTAAGGCAGCCTCCCCTCGTCCACACGATGGCCAATAAGATGGAGCGTCAAGGCAGGGGGGGGGACACGGCATTCTATTTTCCTCTCTCCTGCCGCGGACGAAATGGCCATGGGTCCAGCGCGGTTAACCTTCCCCTCAGCATCGGCGAGTCGTGTGACGAATGGTGGGGGGAGGGCTGTGTACACTTTCATTAGGTAGGAGTGCTAGCGCCTACTACCATTCACAAAATTCATTTCTTCGCCATAATAAACAAGGGCAATTGCATCTCAAGGGCACAAACAGCGGAAAAATAAATCACCTCAATTTGTTCGTTCATCATTAGCTTAAAGCTCTCCATCATCAGTTGAAATTTGTCCCACTTGGCCCTGGTGGCGGCGAGGGCGCCCACTCCGGCACCTGACACATTCTTTAGCAGTCTATCCTTGTCTTCGGCACAATTCAGCTGTTCCGTCAGTCGGGCCTGTCCTTTAGCCAACTCTGCGTGCCTCGCTGTTGCCTCACTCATCTCCTCCACAGTCTGGGGTCGCTGCGACAGCTTCTCCAAAGCATCTGTGAAGGGGCATGAGATAGATGGATATTGACGGAAAGACCTGTCGTGGTGCTGATGGCAGTAGTACCATTGGCAGCAACTGCAATACTATGCTATTTGCCTG